CTCAGTGAGTTAGACGCTTGCTCGCTAACCTGAAGGTCCAGGGTTCAATCCCGGCATAGGTCGAGATAATACCTTCGGATTTTTCAACCCGGTTTCCACCTGTCATTGATGAAGGTAAGAGGGGCTGACATGGAAAAAGCGTTTAGTAGTTCGGATGGGACAATAAACCGAGGCCCCGTGTGCTACAGGCTGTAAACGTTAAAGATCCCTCTACAGTTGGAAATCGAAAAAGAGCAGGTTAATGCCGCTGTCCTGGCAAAATTTCCCTCATGGCACCCTGGATGGCGTTGCCCGTTTTCATTAATCCACAAGGTACAGAAAAGTAGGACGTAAAACTCCATTCATTTCATTTCTTAATTAGAACTTTACAGACTTACAGAAGATGTAACGTCACCGACTTAAACCAAACTCAATAGTATCGTATCGTTGTTTTAAACATTCAGCATTCAGAATATTAGTAACTAAATTTTGAAAGCTAATGTTTACCGGTTTGGCTTCTTGACTCAATTGTATGGTCGACAACTCTGAAATAACGTTGGGTCACAACGACCCACCCCCTTCTCCTTTGTCTCCCTCTGCACTTAAGAATCGATAGGTAAGTAGGTAAATTCTACTTTTTTTTACAAAAACATTGAGTCATATATCAATATTTGACCTCTTAAATTGATTACAGAAGACACCATATTGATTTCGTCTTGCATATTTCATAATGAATTATAGATCTTAAAGATGGGTTTCCTTATTTTTGAGTGTCAAATTAAGCAAACTATTTAATTAATGGGTGTTTCTAATGAATTATCATGTATTCTTAATCATATCATTATGTTCTTATTACATATAATTAAGAGTTTTAACCAATCATAAATGTCCATGTATGTACAGTCTGGATAAACAAAACAAAAAGAAGATATTTTGACCTTTCTTGATCGGTCACTCATTGGAATTCTGCTGGTAATTCTCAACTAATTTAGCTAATTATGAATTAATTATGGACATGTGAGACAAACTGGTATTTTTCCAAGTCATTAGAACACCTCTACTTTCTATTCATATAAGTATTAGCATTTTCATTTTCACCAATGAAAATAAGGGAACCCATCTTTAAGAGACAATCGGCCCTCTACTAGTTCCTATAAATCAATCTGATGTTTCATTTGGTTTTCCGCGAGCGACTCCACGTGCCATCTATGATCTGAAAAAAATTTAGCAGAATTTGAGGTTCATTTCTCAAAAAATTAAAACCAGGTAATTAAATGAATCTTACCTCGTTAAAAACGATGTTAGTCAGGAGAGAGATGAATTGGTAACGTACTCCTCTTGCTTGCTGAAATGCTCAACTAAGCTGATCTAGCACAGAGGTTGTAAAACGAGCAGATCTGAGAGACATGAAACAATGTTTGACCACGATGAAACTATACACGCTCTCGAAGACAATGAGTCAATTTGTATACCAAAATGGTCGACAGGCAAGCCAAGAATAGTAAATTCGTAGTAACCCAGTTGTTTATATAGTGAATGGAATTCGGTCTGAACATCTGGCTTTTGTTGACTGTTGGAATCAAAATGGAACATTTAGCCTTGACCTTTCGATATTTACATGTTTCTGTCCTTGACCCCACCATCTTAACTTACAATAGATTTTTTATAAAACGTGTCAATTTTTTGGCAGACGCCTAAATAATGAATTCTTTTCCTTGACGGTCAAGGAAGAAAACCCCGTATTTCCTGTTCAGAAGAATTGAGTCTTATGCTTTTATGCTTCTGAGGGGAGCCGCGGTGGCTCAGTGAGTTAGACGCTTGCTCGCTAACCTGAGGGTCCAATCCCGGCATAGATCGAGATAACACCTTCGGATTTTTCAACCCGGTTTCCCCCTGTCAGTGATGCACGTAAGAGGGGCTGACATGGAAAAAGCGTCTAGTCGTTCGGATGGGACGATAAACTGAGGCCCCGTGTGCTACAGACTGGGCACGTTAAAGATCCCTCGACAGTTGGAAATCGAAAAAGAGCAGACTAATGCCGCTGTCTTGGCAAAATTTCCCTCATCGCACCCTGCATGTCGTTGCCCGTCTTAATTAGCCCACATGGTGCAGAAAAGTAGGACGTAAAACTCATTTCATTTCATTTTTTTATGCTTCTGATTCACCTAATGAATACGGGCAACATCATACAGTCTCCAATAAGGAAAATTCCACAAGGGCAGAGGCACAATCCTGCTCTTTTCGGATTCATATTTGTGGAAAGACCTTAAACGTTCAAAGACTATAGCACACGAACCTGTATGTTTTGTACCATCCGAACAACTTCACATCTCTTTGGATCTTTTCAATTTACCACAGAATAAGCTTAGGCCTACTTCAGCTACAGAACAGGAAGTGACGTTATTCAGGCAATGAACACTACTCTGATAATTCATATGAAGAAACCGCTATGGCGATTAAAGAAAAGAAAATAAGAACAAATGATTTGCGCTTCAGGAGGATAGATTTGCAATTCTTTTTTGAATGCTTGAGTTAAGCTAAGATTCCATATACGCGTCATGCAGATGCGCCATGCGGACATAAATGGCCCTTGCGTCAAATATGATTCCATATGTGCGTTAACCGTATGCGTTATCTTTCTTTTGACGCACGGACTTCTAGACAGATGGATGCTTTGGTTCATAAAAAAGACAGGGAATCCCCACAAAATACGCCACATTTGGGAGATCTCCGCGCGGAAAGGCGTCCGGGTGCGTCAAAAATCGCTACACCCGGCGAATTTTTTGACGCATGACGGAGACCATTTGACGGATACCGCTTCCGCATATATGGAATCATACCCTCTTTAACCAACCATTTGGATTTTTAACGCATGACGGATGACGCATGACGGATCCGCATGACGCGTATATGGAATCTTAGCTTTAGTCGGTCTTATTCCTTTCTGAATTGAGAAAGATTTGAAATAAACAACGCAAATAATTTAATACGCATTTTGTTTTCTCAGTAGAGGTCAACTGTTGAGGTCGAATACTTACAATTATTATGCAGAAATTTAATGTTATACATGTGATATGCTTTCCCAATAACTTTGATGATCGTTGAGGCAGGGTGTGCTTATTCTCTTTACAAACGCACTATAGTGCCAATCATAGATTGTGCCTGATGCCTTATATAGCTATACTAACCGTTGATACTTTTGCTAGATGTAAAACGATAGCTTATTGGTCAAATTGAATAATAAAATTTTTCTAATTTTGTACTTATTACAATAGCTATCTACGGTGGCTCACATACGACATTTTCCACTTTTCATTTTGAATTAATAAATAAACTTTAAGGTGATAATTTCGGTAATTTTGAATTAAAAACTCTAATTGTGATAATTCCTGTGATTTTTAATTAAAATCCTTAATTTTCACCTAGGTGATAATTAATATTTTAATTCAAAATTAAAAGTGAAATATGTCGTATGTGAGCCACCGTAGCTATCCTATATTCGAAGTAAAAACTTTTTTTCGCCGTTCTTTACAAGATCCGTTGAATTATCACCTAGGTGAAAACTAAAGTTTTTAATTAAAAATTACACGAATTATCACCTAATTTTCACCTAGGTTTAATTCAAAATTAAAAGTGAAATATGTCGTATGAGAGCCACCGTAGCTATCCTATATTCGAAGAAACGTAAACAGTAATTGGTCAAAATGAATATTGACAGGATATTACTTATTTTAAAGGGATTGTAAAAAAAGGTTTTCTTAATTCTGATCTAATTCCATTTCAAATTTCAATCAGACGACTGTGGTTCCTGCAATTCCACAGAAATTAAGGGTTTGATGACGTCACTCATCGCATCAAATGCTTTATCAGATAATGTCCTTCGCGATTAGTGACGTCATAAAACACTCCGTTTTAGTGGATTTGCGAAAATCATAGACGTCTGACATTCGGCTTTCTCGGCAGTTTCCGTAAGCTGAATCTGAGTCGGAAATGAATGGTAAATTCCGTTGTGTCTTCTTGAGCGAGACTCTTTACTTCCGGTATTTAGCAGTGATTTATCTATTGATATACATTTAATGCTAAATTTTGACAACTGGTTACATTTTAATGCATATCTTACGGATGTTTTCCGTGACAATTGTAGTCGCGAACAACCTGCCAGCCAGAATCACGTGATCACGTGACAATATTGACATAGTTCCGGTTAAAATAAAATGGCCATTCATTCAAAATTCAAAAGCGTAACTTTCACGGTCTAGCTCATTAAGTATAATATATGCTAATCCTTATATATAGATGTTTATCTTTTCAGAACCTATTCATACTCTTTTCTTTTAGAACTGGTAACAAGAAAACTTTCATATTATAGACTTTTGTTTATTGTAGATTACTCGTGGGTGTTTTTTGAACTTAATATTAACTAGGCTAACTTCACCTTATCTTGTATTTAACATTTATCTCTTTATTTCTGACCTTGGCCAGTGCTTTACGTAGAAGTTTTTAGGAACTTCTTCACTCTTAACACGGAAGCCGTTTGAGGCGACTGATTGAAAATCGAAAAGGTGAAAATGATGCAATCGGTGTTCCCGATACACATCTACACAAGTTTAGAAAATCTCTTTAATGGCTATCTTATATTCTATATAGGTCTATAACACGACCAGTCATTGGTCAATTAATGACAAGAAATTGCTTATATTAACAGTTATTCTGTACTCTTTAAAAAACACAATTGCTTATTGGTTAAATCGCAAAATGGCACCGGTAGCAAAATAGCGGCTTTATTTCTGAAGACTAGAACGTCGGTCTGCTTCATCAACGGTCAGATGGCATAGACTCCTACTCCCTCAAAAAATCAGATAACAAAACAAAATTTCAGTCGATCTCTATCCTACATTAATCCTAGACATCCATGGATGCAAGATCTGACTTATTCGATAAGGTGCAATTTCGCCAAGATTTTCTCTCCAGAAAATTTCGCCCTTGACATTGTCAAGTAAACCGGAAGTAGGCTTAGTTATTTCCCCTGTTGGATTACATGACGAACAGGCGTTAAACCAGTATCCGCCATGATATTCCGCAGCACAATTTCTACCAGTTGCGTTGTCATTATCTTTGTCGTAAGTTGAGAACGGTTGTCCTTTGAGTTCATCTAAACAATCGCCTAGAGTATCGTTTACCCGATTATTAACCGAATACTCGAAGGTCATTTTATAACCTGTTGACTCGTTACCGATACGAAATCCTGCTTGTCTTGAACGATACCGGGTATTATTTTTGTCGAAGACGTAACTTGATAAAACGTATGGTAAGTCTTTAGTAAGGTAATGAATCTTGTCCAATCCAAGCCACATTTCTGTAAAGAATTTCCCAAATCCGTCTTTATAATCTTGGAAAGACCGGTTGAAGTTTTCAGTCGGTGTGGTACTGGTGCGACGAAGAATACTAACTGACCCTCGTCGACATCGGACTTTGAACGGTTCCGGCGCTGTAGAGGGGTGTATCAAATAATAGTTGTGTAGATAGCCGTGTGGTATCCCTTCCAGGCAATCTGAAATCAGAAAGCATTGCTTGTGGATTTAACAATGTATGCTGCAGACAAGTGTAATTGCGCATATTGGACATGTCAAGATTAGAAAGTATTTACTTACCATGTTTGGGTCTGTCCTGTGTCAAACGTTGGGAGAAACTGACAGGATGTCAGATGTGAATTACCGGATTAGACTTTGGAGCTTCAAACCTGCATATACCGGAAGTGGGAATATAGTGCAAACGTCAGCAAAATGAATTTGATGCAATGAATAGTGACAATGAAACAAGATGGGGTACGTACTTTTCATGATGCGTTCACAACGTGTTCCAACCCAACCACCAACGCACGAACACTGGCCTGTGGCGTTCTGTCGTCCTCCGTTAAAACAGAGCTGAAAAATACAAAGGCTCCAGTTTGATAAAAAAAAAACAAGGCAAGCTTTGGCATTTATCTATTTGGAAATGAAATGGATTCAAATGATGTTATATATCCCACTTTTCCTGAGTATTTTATTTCATTAGCTCAATTCAGAAGCAGAAAAGAATGACGTAAAACAAGTTCAGTCGAAACCCCTCTTAAAGATGGGTTCCCTTATTTTCATTTATGAAAATGAAAATGCTAATATTTATATGAATACAAAGTAGAGGTGTTCTAATGACTTGGAAAAATACCAGTTTGTCTCACATGTCCATAATTAATTCATAATTAGCTAAATAAGAAGAGAATTACCAGCAGAATTCGGATGAGTGACCGATCGAGAAAAGTCAAAAAGTCTTTTTTGTTCATCCAGACTGTACAAAAATGATTATTTATGATTGGTTAAAACTTATATTATCATATGCAATAAGAACATAATGATATGAATATTCAATAGAAACACCAATTAATCAAATAGTTTGATACTAAAAAACAAGGAAAGCCATCTTTAACAGAGAGACTGTCACTGTCAGACCATCAGAAGTTTCCAGGTTCGAGGAGCTGTCGGTTTACCCATAGGAGTGAATGATAAAACCGAGTTAAATCGTGTATTATGATAATGCAAACCACATATAAACTAAACAAAATCGTCTTACCTGTTCAAAATGAAATACTGTCGGATGTTGTGTAAAATTAGCGCATCCATCTGTAGTTGTGACGCCACTTCCGGTGCATAGTCTTTCATGGGGAAGATAATCTATGGAATTGCAACTGACGTCATGCAAGCACAAACTTCCACACGAAATCAGTGTCACTTCCGATTCGGTAAAAATTATTTTTTCGCTCGGCGCTACAATGTGTTCACACCCTTCAATGATATTAAAATGGACACTTTTATGAGATGAAGTTCCTGCAATTTGCATGAAAAAGTTCCAAAACAGAAGCATAGATATCCACATGGTTGAAAAAACTTCCAATGTTTGGCTATATTTTTGTATTTTTGTATACGACGCTGTAATCTTAGTCGGGGCTTTTATTGGCCCACTGTCCGGAACAGCCTTAAGGCAGAGACACGCTATAATAAAAACGTACAAGCAAGACAATACCGTCAATCAACAATTATCGTCCAAAGAATGGCAAAAACGTTGACGCGCATAACGAATATCCAGCTCTGTGTCCTCGATCTCGATCAGAATACCAACCGAGCAACTGCCTAGGGCTATTTCATCGCTAATATACGCTTGTAAACTGCGAAAACATTCACCATTATCTGAAATATACCAAACATCTTGAACAATTTGAAATCCACAAAACATAAAAGATAAAAGCTAGGTTAAATAAAGCAATGACATTTCTATATATCCAAATGCTGATTCGTTAACACGAGCAGTCAACTTTTATTTTGAGGTATTGTAGGTAGCAACATACACACAGACAGACTTACTTGTATATACATGTATATATCAATGTCTACTTATTCCACCTTCCAATAAAATAGACTGATCTTTTTAAAGTATCGCATAATGGCATAATCTGATAGCAACTGGATTTTCAACGACTGTTAGCAAATGTCAGCATCGGGTGGAATCAAGTGGCTATCAGGCAAAGTTGACATTAGCTCACCTTCTAAGTAATCATGGATCATCAATAAATTATACGGGTTCAGCCAGTATTAATCAAAGCATAAGATCTATATAATACGGTGGCTCACATACGTCATATTTCACTTTTAATTTTGAATTAAACCTAGGTGAAAATTAATAATCACGTAGGTGAAAATTGATTATCACCTAGGTGAAAATTAATTATCGCCTAGGTGAACATTAATTTTGAATTAAAATCTTTAATTTTCACCTAATTTTGATTAAAAATTACAGGAATTATCACCTTAGGCGATAATTTGTGTAATTTTGAATAAAAAACTTTAATTTTCATCTAGGTGAAAATAATTTCCACCTAGGTGATAATTCAACGGATCTTGTAAAGAACGGCGAAAAAAAGTTTTTAATTCAGAATTCTTAAATTATCACCATGGTGAAAATTATTTTCACCTAGATGAAAATTAAAGTTTTTGATTAAAAATTACAGGAATTATCACCTAATTTTCACCTAGGTGAAAATATTTATCATCTAGGTGAAAATAATTATCACCTAGGTGAAAATTAAAGTTTTTAATTCAAAATTACAGGAATTATCACCTTGGTAATTATCACCAGTTAAAAAAATGGTTTTTAATTCAAAATAAAAAGTGGAAAATGTCGTATGTGAGCCACCGTAATATATTGCAATCAACCTGCATACTTGAAGGTATATAATCGTCTAATTATGACAGAGTTGACTGTGAATTGATTTTGACAAACGTAAATGATGATTCGCTTGTTTATACCAATGCAATAAAACTTTTAGTCTTTTCCCATAGATATACCACATACTGTTTCACTAACAATTCTATTATGGGCCTGAACTTCATTAATTTGGCAAAATCCAAAACTCTTAAATCTCGACTTTAGGATAGGTTCCCCTATT